CACCCTGATTTCAAAACTGAACACAGATCCAAATGAAAAAGAAATCAATGGGCCAATCTCATTAATAAAAATAGATGAAAAATACTCAAGATATTAGCAAATAGAATGCAGCATATCATCTAAAAGATCATACATAATAACTAAGTGGGTCTTATCCCAGAGATACAAGGATGATTCAAAATATATAAGTCAAGCAATGTAGGGGCTGGGGAAATAGCTCAGTGGCACAGCACCTGCCTGGCAAGTGCAAGGTCCTGAATTTGATTTGCAGTTAAAAAAAAAAAAAACAAGAAATTTAATACATCACACAAACAGAAACAACATCAAAATCGTAAGATTGTATCAATAGATGCAGAAAAGGCTTTTGACAAAATCCAGCAGCCTGTCACAATAAAACCCCTGAAGGAAACAGGTTTAGACAGATTATACCTGAATTTGCTAAAGGTTATTTATGACAAACCAACAGCTAGCTTCTATGGGGGAACATTAAAATGATCTTTCCTAAGATCAGGAATAAGATAAAGATGTCCACCATTATTTCTTCTATTCAACATGGTAATTGAAACATTAGCCAGAGGAATTCGGCAAGAGAAAGAATAAAAGTGATACATATACGAAAGGAAGAACTCGAACTGGCATTATGTGCAGATTATATGATACTCTACATAGAAGACCCAAAGAATTTTACCAAAAGTCTCTTAGAGTATCCACATTCATAATTTTAGCAGGATACATAATCAACATACAAAATAGCTAGAATTTAAATACACCAATAATGAATTCAACGTGAAGGAAATTATGGAAGCAATACCATTCACAGTGGCTTCAAGAAAAATGAAGTATCTAGGAATTAAGGAAGGAAGTGAAAGAAGTTTACAATTTTGGGTAATAAGAGAAAAGTAGGAGGCCTTACAATATATGACTTCAAGCTATCCTACAAAGTGATGGTGACAAAAATGGCATGTTACTGGATCAAAAATACACATAGATCAGTGGAAGAGGACAGACAAAACATCCCTAGAAAAAATTCAACTATTTGATCTTTGGTAAAGGGACAAAAAATTTATGTAGTTGCAGGAAAGATGGCCTATTCAACAAGTGGTGTTGGGAAAATTGGATATCTGTTCACAGAAGAATGAAAATAGACCCTTACCTCTTGCATATACTAAATTAAAAATAGATTAAATATCTAAACATAAAACATCCTGGAAGATAAAATAGGTAAAATACTTGAAGCGATAGGTGTAGGAAAGAATTTTCTATATAAACTCTCAAGTGCACAAGAAGTAACAGCAAAGAATCAACAAATGAGATTGTGCCAGACTGAAAAGCTTCTGCACAGCAAAAGAACCAATTAGTAGAATGAAGACATAACTTGCAGAATAGGAAGAATTTTCCAGCTACTACTCATAGGACTAATATCTGGAATATAAATAATTCAAAAAATTATACTGTTTAAAGACCCAGTCAAAAATAAACAAGATAAATGAACAGATACTTCACAGAGGAAGAATTGTAAGTGTTCAACAAATATATGAAAAAAGTTCAGTATGTCTGGCCATTAGAGAAATGCAAATTAAAACAACACTAAGATTCCATCTTACTGCAGAAATAATAACCATCAAGACATCAAATAACAACAAATGCTGGCATGGCTGTGGTGAACAAGAAATGCTCCTACATTGTTGATGGGACTGCAAACTAGTATAACCATTATGAATGGAAATTAGTACAGAAATTTCTTCAAGGACTAACGTTAGAAATTCCATATGACCAAGCTATTTCCTCTCTAGATATTCTCCCCAAGGAGTTAAAGACATCACACCACATTGCCACATGTATACCAGTTTTTTTTTTTTTTTATTGGTACCAGGGATCGAACTCATGATTGCCTGCTTGCAAGGCAGGTGATTATGCCGCTGAGCTAAATCCCCAGCCCCAACCAAAGTTTAATAGCAACACAATTAATAGCTTCATTCTAGAAGCACTCTGTATAACCAGCAACAGGTGAATGGATAAAGAAAATGCAGTATCTGTATATAATAGAATACTATTCAGTTATAAAGAAGGATAAATTTGAGATATTTGTAAAAAAATAGATGCACCTGGAAAATATAAAGATGAGCAAAATAAACTAGACATACAAGCTTAAAGTATCTCTCATTTCAGTAAGGCAAATTACAAATAAAGAGAACAATATAAGATAGAAGGGGACAAAGGGATGGATCTCTTATAAATGGGAAAGGGTCCACGAGACCAAGGATGAGAGGTGAGGGAGAATGAAAGGACAAATAAGTAGAATTAAGGACAAATAAGTAGTATAAAGACAAGCCATATATAGGAGCCTAATGATCTCAAAGAATGTAAACATTATATGTCATAAACATGAACAAAGGTTAATAATATCAAAGAATGAGAAGGGGGAAGGGAAATTAGACAAGCAGGTAATGAGGAGAGAATGGGAAGGGGACTGAAAAAAAGAAGCTATATTATGTCCATGCTTCTACTTACCAAAAGGATGGCAAAATGCATCTACTGCAAACACATACTAATGAAAAATTTAAAAAGCAAGACATCATACTACAGCAGTATATGGATTTCTACATTTATAGGAGCTCAATTCATAATAGTTAAATCATTAGAAGTGGACTATAAGTCCATGAACAAATGAATGAATGAAAAAAATGTGGCATTTACACATAATGGAGTACTATCTGCCATAAAGAAGGATAACGTTGAGTTATTTGCAGGAAAATGGATGCACACTGATACCATAATATTAAGTGAAATAAATCAGATATGCATGTTTAAATATTACATGGTTTTTCCAATATGAGAAACCAAAACTACAAATACAGAGCAAAATAAAAGACAGACAATAGGAAGCAAAGAGAGAGAGAAATATTTCTTGAATGGGAAGAGGATCAAAAGATGGAGGAACATGAAAGGAGTGAAAAGAGATGCAAAGACAAACTGAGACGTGTTATATACATGTACCAACTTCACACAAAGAATGTACCGCAAACATGTACTAATAAAACATTTTTAAAACCTCTCAGTAAATCTATTAAACATGAAAAAGTTTAAAGAGACAATTTTAAGGCACTGAGAAGTCATGCTAGATAGATGGATATTTGCATACATGCTTGTATGCATGTATATCTCAAAACACACTAAGCCACAACTAGAAAATAGGTAACAAATTTGAAGAGATGCTTCACCAAAAGAATAAATATGCACAGTAAATAATGTAGCTGTTCAGCATCATTAATCATTATGGACATGCAAATTAAACCCACAATGATAACCTATTACACATATATACCTATCCCATTATATACAATACTCACATTTACACTACATATTAGCATGAAAGACTGTTAATTAAAATTGAAAGACTGATAGTACTAGGCATTCACGATGATATAGAACTATACCTCTTATATACAACTGGTGAAAATGTAAAAATATTTACAAATAACTTTAGCATTTTCTTCTTAAAAAGTTAAATGATAATGATTTATTAACTTTATTCCAAGCTATTTATCCAGGAAAAAAGAAAACCTATGTTACACCACATTTGGTATACCACAAGCTATGCACCAAAATTCATAGAAGTATTATATGTAATAGGCAACAACTAGAAACAACCTAAGTGTCTATGACAGGTGAACTGATAAACCATGTAATACTACCCAAGAATAAAGAGAGGAATAAACTATTGATACCTACAAGAAGAATCTCAAATAATTAAATTCAGAGAAAAAGTCAGATAAAATGAGTATATAATGTATAACTCCAATTATCTAGAATTCTTAGCAATGAAATCTAGTACATAGATGCACAAAGCAGACCAGTATTTAACTAGGAACTGGTAAGGGAAAGGAGGGGAGTAAAGGAGGCATACAAGGGACATTTTGGGACTAAAGGATAGTTTATAATCTTGTTTTTGGTCATGACTTCATAGATGTCTGCACGTCATAACTTCCCAAATGGCACACTTTAAATATATACCATGTTTTAACATGCCAGCTATAGCTCAATAAAGCTATTAAAGAAAGAAAAACAGTTTAAATATGAAAAACTCTACTAAAATTATGTATGGCTGATCCAGACAAGTAAAAATTTTCAGTATTTGAGTTAATATAACTAATCTACTAAAATTTGAGGTGCCCTGGCTAATCTTAGTACTACTTAGCAATAAGTTGGCCAACAAATGAGCAAACTAGAATACTGAGAGATCTGAGATCAAGTCATTAATTTGGTCATAAAACTGTGATTCGCACCTTTAAAATTACGTTGCTATATTAACTTACAAGTAAAACTTACTGACTAGAAAATGCTTTGTTATCCAGAAGTGAGAAGTGCTGGAAACAGGGATCATTCAAATTAAATTCTGGTTTGCCTGGACCCATTTCTGTTAGACTGATCCATAACCAAAGAGGGATTCAAGGACTCTGCAGTCTTTAGCACTCTAAATTCCTCTTCCAAAAGTGAATGTGATGGAAGAGGACAGGAAGCATGGGGCAGGGAGTACTGGGAATTGAACTCAGGACGCCTGCCAGGCAGGTGCTACACCACTGAACTATCTAACATATCTAACAGAATCTTTTTTCTTCTTTCACTTTTATGAATAAATGGTAGTGTTTTTAATTGAGTCACATTACCTAAACTCCAACTCACTCTTTGGTTCTAAATTGTGCTTCTACAAAAGATGCATTTATACTTCTACCTTTAGGTGATGCTTTAGCAGTACACTGTTCATTTTTTAAAATCATTTTTGTAGTAATATAACTGACTATTTGTGCCTGAGAATCCAAAGGTACTTGTGACTAAACTATATCAGGACAATTTCATAAGCATGATTTCACTTGCTAAAAATACAGTAGTTCTGTTCTTCCACTCAAGAAGCCCAAGCAAACCTGTAAATACCTACACAATGTGACAGCAACATTTACTTACAAAAAACTTGCATGATTTTAGATTAAAAAAACAAATACCTGTGTTCTGAATTCCAAAACATCATTTCCTGGTTTAATTCTTCCTAGTAATATCAAATCTTTTATATGCATTAATTTCTTTTTAGGAGTTGTGCTGAAACTTAAAGGCTTTTTCATAGAATGCTGATGACCAGACTCAGAGGAAGAAGAGATCTGCCTGTCATTTGCACATGAAATGGTGGATGCTGTTTTTTTAAGACACGGTTTTATGGGATGTCCAGTATCAGTGCCTAAGACAGCACTGCTTTGATGTGGCAGAGACTCTGAGGCCCCACCAGCTGTTTTGTTTCCTCTTTTTGAATCACAATGGGAAAGGTCTTGGTGTGAAATAACAGTTGATAGAGGGGTATCATTTTGGGAAAGGATACTTGAGCATTCAGAAATATTTAATGTGCCTGTGGCAGAAGGACCACAAAATTCATGATTTTTGGCTACAGTTTCTGGAGGATCATTTTCTTTTTGTGAGTATTCTGCTTGAGCAATGAATGTAACATGCTGCGATGATAATTTAATCTCAGTGCTATCTGAATATCTGGATTTTGATAAGCCATTCAAGGTACAATCATTTTCATTTTGTTTTGAATTCATCTCATTTCCAGAAAATTCTTTCCTTCTCACTGCCTTGGAATTTAGACAGATGCTAGCATTTTGGCTATCATCCCAAGACTCTGGAGATAACAGTGTTCCTTGTACACTTTCACAATCAAGGTTGACAGAAGAACATGGACTTAATTGGGGCTTCACTAAATTTTCCAGACTGGAAAGCTCCTGGCTGTCCTTGTCACTGGAGGTGTCTAAACTGGATGGTAACTTCCTTAAATGAGGAATAGACAAGGATGTGACATTCTTGTAATTCTGAATTTTCAGGCTTATATTTTTCTGTTTTTTTGCTGCAACCAAAAGTCTCCTCTGTCTTGTGGCCAAATTGGCCAGTTGTTCTCTCAGGACTCCATGCTTAAATGACTCTATGGACACCCTACAGGAGAAACAGAAAGAGGAAAAATATAAATATGGTAGAAAACTTTTTAGCAGTTATTTAGATGTTAAAGATACTCTTTGAATTTTAAGCAGCTTGAAGTACATAAAAGTCTACCTTCACAATGTATGTAACTTCAGAGAGGAAACCGACCTTTAGAGCCAGGGATTTAGCTCAGCAGCACAAGTGCCTCTTTGGCAAGCACAAAGTCATGAGTTCTGTCACTGACATAAAAAGAAAAAGACAGAAAGACAGGAAGAAAGAAAGAAAGAAACTAACTCCTTTATTTAAAGTGAGTACTGTTTTTTAGGATATTTCATTTCATTTCATTTATATTCATTTCATTTATCAGTTTTGAGTCAAACATAAAAGAGAAATAAAACTTGGGTTGTCTGTCTAGATTGTTACTATCTTTGGTGAAAGGTACAAAGAAATTTGTGACTGAGGAATACCCTCATTCATTATGTTTGGGTGTTTTTATAAGTGGAATGGTGTATTAGCAAGTACATTTTGGGAGTAGTTCTACTTAGGTTTCCTTAGCTAGAGAGGAACAAGACTTTTATCAACAATCATACCTCAATTAGACTTGAGAAATACTAGTTTTTTTTTAATTTAAAGAGAAAAAAAACAAAAAAGGGTAGAAATACAGAATTTCAGAAAAATAAACAGTAAGAAATCACTATTTGATAAGTTACATATTGTCATCTTAGAAATAGTTGTTCAAGTTACAAAATTAAAGCATACAAAGTGATATTCAAATAATGACATTGCAAACAGTTCTGCTTTGTGATTCAACAAAAAGTAATATGGTTATCATTCCTATACACTTAATTTTTATTTTAAAGAGGGTAAGATTAAACATGTCAAAACAGAACAAAACAGTTCATAAGGAAACAATTTAAAGAAACACAGATTTCTAAGCAAGTCCACTGGAGATCTTATTGCTAGTTTTCTTCCAAATAGTTGTCCCCATCTTCACATACACTGAATATGTACTGGATATTATAGAACTAATCAGATCATTACAGGATGATGAAGGCTTTTTAGGTTTTCAAGACCTGATTTTGGGGAAATCAATAATGTCTACCATAATGTTTCTCAGTCTCTTTATAGAAGCTGTCATTATCTTTACGTGTGCTGAAATTGAACATAAGAGACTAGACTAATATCACTCTTAACAGTGAATGATAGTGTTGCTAGATTTCATATCATAACACTACAGAATTAGCACTGGGTTTCTTAGTGTCTCTTCTTCTTCAGAGCATCCATTCATTACATCGTGTATTATATAATCTGTTAATAGTTTAGAAATTCTTTTCATGTGTGACTCTCTACTTGTATATCTATCTTTTCTGTATTATAGGGAAAAACAGATCAAAACAAGACAACAAAATAAATTCCTAGAAAAATATGAAATGAAAAAGACATATAGGACCACAATATTAGGTGATATACAGTAGTTACTATGCTTTCTCTTGTTATTTTCAATAGAATTGTCCACATCATCAGGCATAACATAATTGAACATAACATTACATAGCTATTTTATTAAAGACACAACTTGGAAGATACTGTAGGATTTGAAAGCAGTTAATAATCAAAACCGGAATGGATATCTTTTACATCTTGTCATCTTCAGAGTAGTTGTCTCTACTCTTAAGACTTGATACTATCAAGTATACCAAATTTGAATAAAATCAGTCAAGGCAAAATAGTGGTTTAACAAACCAGCTTCAAATAAGATCAGTCATAGTAAGACAATGTAAGTAATACAGGGTTTCAGTTTAAGTTAATAAGAAATTAAGGATAGTTACTATGTTATTTTTGGGTTAGCTGTCTATGCCCTCAAATCTCATATGAGTTGACAGACCGGAACAAAATATAATCTAACTAAACAGAGCGATAAGATTATTTGTGGCTTTTAAATTCTGATACACTTATAACAATGTCCTCTGCCTTCCTTTTTTAGGCAATTCCTCACTTTTCCCCTTCTCAGGATGCTTTGTATATTTTGTATATTTGTATACAATGCTTTGTATATTTTGGGTCCCACTAGCTCCTATACTTTTTAATACTAGGGGGTCAACCTGTTATCTTGAGTGTTGCTGAACCTTTTTACCCCTGAGCTTAATCTTGACCTGTACTCCTTTACTTACCAAAGCCACAAAGGTTTTCCTTCCTTCCAGCTGCGTAGTTCTACACTGCACATGTGTCATAACTTTCCAACCTATCTGCCTTTTCTGGTTTTCTGTCACATATAGCATTGTTTTCTCATCTTTGACTTTCAGTTTATTAACCCTCTTTCAGGTTGAGTGTATTTCCTATTCAGAGCCTCTTGATGGATCCTGTCTCCTAATGTACTCTGTCTGTGTTTCTTTTTTGTTAGTGTATCAAGGCTATCTATATTAAAAATTATAGCTTACCGTCTCTGCCTCATCTCTGCTATTCTTTTGCTATTATTTGTCTACTTTATCCTTCATTCCACTGTATGCCCCATTCATTGAGGCCTCTCTGCCACTGTTGCTGGAATCTTGGTATTTTTTCCTCTCTCTCTCTTTGGAATGTCCTTCAGTATTTTTTGTAGGGTTGGGTTGGTGGCCATGAACTCCCACAGTTCCTCCTTGTCTTGGAAATATCTTGTTTCTCCATTAATTTTGAGAGAGAGTTTTGACAGGTACATCAGCCTTGGTTGGAAGTTGCAGGGCTTGATTATTTCCTCCCAGGCTCTTCTCGATTTGAGAGTTTGTGTTGATACGCCTGTCATTATTTTGATGATTTATCCTTTTTAGGTGATCTGCTTCTTTTCTCTAACTGCTTTTAATATTCTGTTCTTGTGGTGGATTTCTGGTATCTTGATTATTATATGTCTGGGTGTAGATCTGTTTTGGTTATAGGTGGCTGGAGTTCTATATGCCTCATGTATCTGGATATCATTTCTTTTTCCTATGCTTAGGAAGTTTTCCTTAATTATATCTGTAAATATTCTTTGTAGTTCACTTAGTTACTCCTTTGTAGCACACTTAGTTATTCCTGCTTCTTCGTTTATGTTTTTTATTCTTAATTTATAAATCCTCTTGTCATCTTCTAGCATTTGAATTGTTTCTTCCTGGTTCCTTGTTATTTTTAAGAGATCTTTTCTTTCATGATCACACATCATAAATGTCTCTTCAAGTTTCGAAAGGCTAACTTTAGTTTCTGTCAAGGCATTTTGCCAGCTTTCAATGGAGTTTTGAGTTTCCTGATAATCTCTTTGGATCTGTTTCATGTATTCTAGATTTCATGTATTCTACATTCTTCATGAAGGGTTTCTCTTTCTTTTCTGAGTCCCTCTGTTCTTCCATTTGTGTTCTCTTGGGAGGGGCTTATCATTTCTCTAATTAATCTTTTTATATCTTGCCTCACTTGGATCAGAAGTACAGCTTTAAATTCGTCTATGAGGTCACGAAGGTATTTCTTTATGTCCACTGATGCTGTGTTTAATATTGCATGATTACTGCACTGGTTCTCTTCTCTATTTACCTCTCCTGGGCTTATTTTCCCAGGGTCAGCGGCTGGAGGGTTTTTTAAAAATTTCTATCTCCTGTCATGTTGCTGATTTCTTTCAGACAGGTGTGTCTTCAGGGTCTCTGGCCCTCTGGGTATTGCTTAGGGTCTTTCCAAAGCTTGCTAACTGGGGTTTTGCTGTCCTCTCCAATTTGCTGTTATTTGAGGTACAAGCAAGGACACAGGGATGGTACAGGCTAGCCTCTAGCCTCTAAGCCAGTCGACCCACAATTTCCTTCAGGGACTTATGTTGTACCTTGTGGACATCACTGAGTCATGACCTTTTAGTCCTTGGCTATTGGGCCCAACCAGAGGCTAGCTTAGCCCCAGCAGAGGCCACCTATCCTCTCTGCGCCAGGGGCAGCCGACTGATACCACCTTGGTGCTGGGCTCTGCCCAACTCAAAAATGTCCTCCAGCCAGCGACAGCAGCCACGGGACCCAAACCCCAGGACTCACCAAGAATCAACGCAGCTTCTCCTCTTGACTCCACGCAGCGCCACGTCCTCCTGCCAAGGATTCAGGACTCAACAATTTCCGTTATCGCCAGCTGTGGCTTCAGCTCCACCTTGAATTGCATGATTCTACGGCGCTCCCAGCACAGCACACACTGGTCTCAGTGAGCGCACAGGGCTCCAGCCCTACACTCATGTTTTTCCTTCCTTCGCAGAGGTAGATTTTAGCTTGATGTGGTTTTTCTATGTCTAGATCAGCATCCTATCTCTTCAGAAAACTGTACGGCGCGGTGCTCGGCTTTGGCACCCAGGCGCATGGTCCTCTCTGTGGCCTCCTCCAGTGTGGGGCCCCAGAACCCAATTTCCAGTACTCACTGAGAGCCAATAAAGCTCTCCCCCTTGGCTCCACTTTAGATTGTGCCTTGTCTTCCCGTCAAGGGCCCAGGTACTCATCGACTCCTGTTATCGGCAGCTGCAGCTTCAGCATGACTTTGGATCGTCCAACTCCAGGGCCCGCCCAGCACAGCGTGGAACGGGTCTCAGTGAATTCCTTAGGCTGCAGCCCTCCACCTGAGCTTTTCCTTCCTCTTCCTACTTTTATTTTTCCCTTTGGTTTTCTCCTGGCTTAATAAAAATCATCCTCTAATCGTCTGGTCATCTCCACGCTGTCCAATTCTAGCATCTGAGCTGCCTTCCCTGCAGAGGCTCTCAATCCAGCCTCCCTATCAAGCCGCCATCTTTAAAACAAGAAATATTAGTTTTTAAAGTCATTACTGTAATTGCACTTTGAACTTATATGCAGACGCTTAGAGGTCCAGAGAAAACAGATCATCACATCTTCCTGACTCTGTGGGTCAAGCTCACTCCGAACTGCAGTATAGGAGACTTTGTTTCCAATGGTTCTCAAATTTTTTGGCCTCAGTATCTATTTACACTATTAAAAACTTATTGAGGAACCCAAAAGATTTTTGTTTATATAGATTATAATTATCAATATTTACTGTTTTAGAAATTGAAACTGAAAAATCTATAAAATACAAGAGTATGTAAGTATACATTACATTGGTCATCAGGTAGTCCATGGAAAATTCCACTGTATACTCATGAGCAAATAATACCTTGGTATTACTATAAAGACAATTTTGATTTCACATATTACTTGAAATCAAAGATCCACCAGGGATCTCTACATCATTCTTTAAAAGCTGGTGTTTTAAAATAAAGCAACAGAATAGTTATTTTGCCTTTCCTATTAAAGTTCAGAGTTGTTGGCACTAAACTGCCAAAAAATTATGTGTCAAAATTACACACACAGAAAGAGAGAAAAAGAAAGAAGAAATTAAATTAGCAAATAGCTGGTAGCATAAAATGCAAAAAGCTGGATAAAAGAGTAAAACCAGTGATAATATCACACTTAAATCTATGTGAAACAAAGAGTTAAGACAAAAAACAAAGATGCTCTCTTTAGATTACTCATACCAAGATTTGGAGTCTTAAAACAACATTAGTAAGAATTTACAAATTCCAACCCCAACTGATGAAAAACTTTCCAAGATTTCAGTAGATTGTTCACCATAGGACACTAAAGGAAAAATCAAACTAGCTTCTCTAATATCCCTAGAAAATATTCTCTGGTCAATTACCCATCTGCAGCTCATAAAAGCTCACCTGCTTGATGGTGCCAGAAAAACAATTTAGGAAACAAAAAGAAACTTAAGATATTTACTCACTGTTGAAAAGGCAAAATGAAGACAAAAGACAATGGACTTAGGAATACAAATTGAAAGTGATTTTCAAATAATTTCAGAAAACAGCTTTATTAGATGTTAAGTGATTATCAGACAACATAAAGAAAATAGAAAAATTAAATGTGAAAATAATAAGAGTACATATGTAACTAAGTCTATGGAAACTAATAAAAAATTCTCAAATAAAAAACATACACAGAACATTTTTTTCCAAAAAATCATGAGAAGAGGCATATAACTAATGCAGTATTATCAGGATGAAACCATAATAAGGACCCTGAAATATTGAAAGTATACACACACACACAAACCAACTTCTAGGCCATTTGTGTGCCACTGAGCTATATCCCTAGCCCAACTTTTTCAGATATTAAAACATTCTTTTATGAATATGTAAGTAATGAAGCAGAAAAATATCTTTCTGAAAAGTACAATTTCCCATGGATGTAACTGATGAGACCACCATAAAATGTCACTGTTTGGTCCTAAGCAATGTTTGTATCTTTAAAAAATCCTAGGTCTAACTGTTATTCATCATTCTTTTACTGTAATAAATACCGTAGATAACCAACTTATAAACAGAAAAGGTTTATTTTGGCTACTGGTTTTAGAGGCTTTAGTTCATGGTCAATTGACTCCAATGTTTTGGGCCTGTGATGAGGCAGAATATTATAGTGGGAGCAAGTAGTAGAGCAAAGCTACTGTTTGTTTCAAGGTCAAGCCATGAAAGAAGAGATGAAAAAGGAGGAGCCAATGTCCCAAAACCCTTTTGAGGGCTTTCCTCAGCAACTGGAAGACTTCACTAGGCCCCATCTCAGAGTTCTCCCTACTTCCCAACAATGCCCAGTGGGGCACTAAAATCTCAACTATTGCAGCACTGTAACTGGAAAAGAATTCACTACAGAAACTCAGTTATTCCATCTTCACTCACCTGTATTTTTTAGCCAAATCATCCCTTTCTGCTTTCTGTTTGGCAAGCACATTATCCAAAATCTCTTTTATCTCCAACATCTTTTCAATGTATTGTTCTATGAAGATGGTAATAACAAGTCAGTTAATTCAAGGAAAGCTTATTTTACATTTGGCCACACAACTCTACAGCTGAATTTTGAAAAGCAATTACTACCTACTCACTTTTCCAAACCTAAATAAAAGCTTACTTGATTACATAATTCTAAGGAAATGCCTTAAGGCATACTATAGGTAAAAAAATTACACCAAGAAAAAGCAGCCCACCTAAATTCTAATTGTTCTGCCCTACTAAGTTCTGGGAGCCTAGGTTAATCATGACCTATATGGTCAGCTAGTATATGTGTTCATCTAAAAAGCAGGAGGATCTTCTCTGCCCATGTTGCCACTACACAATGAAATTCTGATCTGTTTTTAGAGGTTGCAATAGCTGATTAAAGCTAAAGAACCAAGGAGCAACATAATCTTTAGTGATATGGTACACTTTCGGTCATGTCTTCATCTAAATATACCTCCTGTAGTTACTTACCTTGATCACAGTCCTGAATATCTCTAAAAATGATTCATATCATCTTGAATATAGATCTTTGTTAACAACTGAACAACTACTGGTGTGTATCACGGACTTTTGAGAATTAGTCATGCCTTAAATATTCTCAAATAAAAAGAGACCACTGTTTCAGCCAGTGAGAACATTAAAATAGACACGTACTTTAAGAATGAGGTAGCAATGACCCTCAATGCCTGAAACAATCATACTTGACTCTTGAGCATGAAAACACACTTACCTGCATCCTTAGGGTTTCTTATTTCAAACTCTAATAACTTTTCTTGGTTTTCTTCTACATCTTGTAGAATGGCACTGATGGTCTGATGCTATCAGATAGAAATATTAGAATTTTAACTATGATGATAGATGTGTTCCCTGATATGCCGCTGACAAACATACAAAATGTTAAAAATGGTCAATTCTCCATAGACTCAAAATGTTTTGTATAAATGGTATAAGTATTGCAGATTTGGGAAAAATAACTCAAAACTAATAATGGGATGTACTTTTATCCCTTCATTTTGGGTTCATACTTTGCATCTTGCTTAGACTGCCTTCAATTCACTCTGTCCAGATCCTTCTCTTTGTGGTGAGAGAACATTATGGACACCTGGTTGTAATCCGGGCTCCAACTCTTTCCAGCTGAGTGATTCTAGCAAATTACTTACCTTTGCTATTTCTGAAATGAGCAACACATAAAACAAAATAAGAGCTCAACAAATATTGCTTATTATTGTTATATAAAACCCACTTTATATGAAATCTCTGATTAATTCTCACTGATTTTCCTTTTCTCAGAATTAAGGATTTCAGAGCTATGTAACTTAATATTATATATATTTTTTCATTTTCAATTTTTAAAATTTTATTTAAAGACTAAACAAAACAGAAAATGGGTAGAAATAATACAGACATTCAGAGAAAAAATAAACAGTAAGAAATCACTAGTTGATGTTTACATACTGTCCTTTTACAAACAGTTGTTTAAGATACAAAAGTGGAACATATAAAGTGGGAATTCAAACAGTGAGACTGCAAACAGTTCTGTTCAACTATCCAATAAAAACTTAGTAATATGGTTGTGAATCCTGTACACTTAAACATACATGCAGTTATCCATATCTTCATTTATGGTGGGATTAAACTAAAGCAGGTTAAAGTCATTCTGAACACAGAATAATAGTATTGCTGGATTTTACATCATGATACTCCAGGATGAGCACTGGGTAATACGGTGTTGTTATTTTTTTAAATTTTATTTAAAGAAAGACTAAACAAAAGAAAAAATGGGTAGAAATAATACATACTTTCAAAGCAAAAAATAAACAGTAAGAAATCACTAACTGATGATTACAGATTGTCCTCTTACAAACAGTTATTCAAGACACTAAAGTGGAGTACGTAAAGTGGGGATTCACACAGTAAGACTGCAACCAGTTCTGTTCAACTATCCAACAAAAACTTAGAAATATGGTTATCAATCCTATACACTTAAACATACATGCAGTTATCCATATCTTCAATTATGTTGAGATTGAACAAACTCAAGCAGGCTAATATCACTCTGAACAAAGAATAATACTATTGCTGGGTTTCATATTATGACATTCCAGGATCGGCACTGGGTACTTTAGTGTCTCTTTTTTCTTCAAAGTATCTCTTCATTTCATCATGTATCATAAGATCAGTTCTCATAAACTGTTTATAGATTCTACACATGCATGAGTCTTAACATGTATTTCTATCCTTTCTATGTTAGAGGGAGAAACAAAACAAAGCAAGACAAAACAAAACATATTCCTATAAACACATGAAATGAAAAAGACATATAAGACCATTGTAACAGGAGTTCTACCATAGTTCCTGTGTTATCTCTTGTTATCTTCAATAGAATTGGCTACATCATGAGACACAGTATAATTGAATATATCAGTACCTAACAGTATTAACAAAAACTAGAACTTTATATACAGTATAAAACATCAAAAGCAGACAGTTATCAAACCAGAATGTGTATCGTAGAGTCCTGTCATCTTCAGTTGTAGTTGCCTATACTCTCAGACTTGATACAATCAATTATATCAGTTTTGAATAAAATCTGTTGATACCAAACAGCAATCAAACAAACCAGATTTAACTAAGATTAGCCATGATAAAACAGTATAAGTCATACTGGGCTCTAGACTTAGATAATATGAAATTAAAGATGATTACTGTGCTATATCCTGATGTTTTGGGGATAGCTGTCTGTGCCCTCAAATCTAATGCAAGTAGACAACTGGAACAGAATCAAATCTATCAAAAAAGGAATAAAATGTATCTAAGCAGAGTGGTGTGAGTAATGTGGGTTTTAAATCCTGATACATTATTAACAATATCTTCTGCCATCTTTTTTAAGTCTCTCCCTCCCCTTTTACTTCCCCAGGGTACACTGTGCATTTTTGGGTCTGATTAAGACCCTTGGTTTTAAATTGGGGGGGGGGGCAACCTTTATTTATCTAAGTGATTCTGAACCTTCTCTCTCCTGGACTTGATCTCTGATTGTATTCCTTTACCTATTAAAGCCTGTCTTTCCAACCTATCCACAAATACTAGTCTAGCTGCCCCTAGTACTCTCTGGTTCTGTCACATAGAGCATTGTTTTCTCATATATGATTTTCAGTCCATGTACTCTTTTTCATGTTAATTATATTTCCTATACATAGCATCTTGGTGGACCCTCCCTCCTGATCTACTCCACGTGTGTTTTTTTAAAAAAAGTATTCTATCAAGGCCATCTACATTAGAGATTATAACCAACCTTCTCTGCCTCATTTCTGTTATGCTCTTTTTTTTTATCATCAATTGTCTGCTTATCTTCTTCATTCTGTTTTCTGCTCCATTCATTGAGACTTTTCTGCCACTATTCCTGGAATCCTAGTACTTTTCTTTCTCTCTAGAATGCCTTGCAGTATTCTCTGTAGAGCTGGATTGGTGGTTAGGAACTTTTAAGTTCCTCTTTGTCTTGGAAGCATCTTGTTTCTCCATTAATTTCTAGAGACAGTTTAGCAGGGTGTATCAATCTGGGTTGGAGGTTATTTTCTTTCAGGGCTTGGAGTATTTCGCTCCAGGCTCTTGACTTGATGGTTTGTGTCAAGAACTCTGCCATGATTCTGATGAGCCTTCCTTTATAGGCTGTTTCTTGTCTCTAACAGCTTTTAACATTCTGTTCTTATATTGAATTTCTGGGATCTTGATTATTATATGCCTGGGTGTAGCTCTGTTTTGTTTGTAAGTGGCTGGAGTTCTGTATACCTCATACATCAGAATATCATTTCCTTTTCCTATGTTTGGGATGTTTTCCTTAATTATTTCTGTGAATAGCCTTTGTAGTTCTTTCGTTTGTACCCCTGCTTCTTCATTCACATTCTTTATTCTCAAGTTATACATCCTCTTGTCATCTTCTAGCCTTTGTATTGTTACTGCTTGTTTCCTTGTCATTTTTAAAAAGGTTTTCCTTTCATAATCCCACATTGCAAAACTGTCCTCCAATTTGGATAATCTAGCCTTAGTTTCTTTCAAGCTGATTTGCCATCTTTCCATAAAGTTTTTAACTTCCTGGTGATCTCTTTGAATCTGCTTCATGTATTCTATATTTTGTTTATATTCTTCATCAAATGGTTCTCTCCTTTGTCTGAGTTCCTCCATTCTTCCGTCTGTGTCTTCTTGAGGGGTTCTTAGTATCTCTTTTATTAATCTTCCGATATCTTGTTTTATTTGGCTAAATATTTCACTTTTGAACTTGTCCATGAGGTCCTGAAGATATCTCTTTATGTCTACTGGTGCCATGTCTGAGATTGCATGTTTGCTGTTCTCATTCTCCTTTGTATTTACCTGTCCTGGGTCAATGTTCTCAGGGTTGGGACCTGGGGACTTTTTGTTGTTGCTTCCTCTTCCTATCCTTTTTTCTTTCTTCTAGAAGGCCCCAGTTTCTTTCTTTTTTGGTTACTATTCTTCTGAAGCACCACTGCAGTATGCTAGTGCATATGCTGGCCCTTCCCTTTTGGATCAGTCAAGCTGATGAGGCCTGCACTGTATTACTATGCACACCTCTCTTCCGGATCAGTCAAACTTCTGAGGCTTCACTGCATTAGTGTGGTTAGTGTGCACCACCACACAGGGAATTGATTTCAGACAACCTATTGGGTCTCACCCAGGTCATGTGACCCAGGCCTAGCTCACTCCACCAGTCGTGTTCAGGAAGGGAACAACTGACTGAAATCACTGTTGCCCTTTGTACTTGCCAGTCCTGCTTGGTCCCAGAATGCCATCCGTTGGAGGCCCCATTTCTGTAGAATGGCTCCACTCCAGTTACTCACCACTTGCTGGCTGAGCAAGCTCCCAGCCAGCTCAGCTCTCCGTTTGGCTGGCCAACCCCTGACCTCAGTGTGACTGCACCTCCAGTGAGCCAAAGCAGCGGGACCTTCGCTGGCTTGGCAAGTTGCCCACTGTGGTGAGAGCACTGAACCTTTAGCTGTTCCAATAATAGCACCAGGACTGTCTGTTTGATTGGTTTTTCTCACCTTAGTTTCTTCTTGGGACGAGAAAATTCTTCTCCCTCAGTTCAAGGCTCTCCATGCTGCATTATGTTGAATTCTAAGTTGACTATCTCCGGGAGCCTCTGTAGCCAGCTGTTATCTATCTGCCATCTTTGCTCCACCTTCTTCTTAATATTATTATTAATATTCATATGTATTAATGTATATAAAGTCACTTTCTCTTTGCTGGGACAAAATACCCAACACTTGAAACTTATATGAAAAGAAATTTATTTTGGCTTGCAATTTCAGAGGGTTCAGTCCAGTTGTGATTGACTCCAAGCCAGACATGGTGTGGTGGAGTGGCATGGCAAGGCAAGCTGCTCAGCCTATGGCAGCCAGGAAGCAGAAAGACATAAAGAACCAGGGACAAGAAAACATGCTTTCAATTCACACCCCCAGTTACCCACTGCCTCTAGCTAGGCCCCATCTCCTAACACCATCTTCAGCAATGAGCTCATCCACAGATTAATCTCATGTTTCAATCATCTTTCAAAAGTCCCACTTCTGAAAATTTGAGACTTCTGGAGGCCATTTTAAATCTAACCTATAACAATATGCATATCATCTTACAAATTTTCTCAGTAAGACATGGAGTGTTATAGGCACCTACAATTTTTATACTTGCTACATATACAGTTGCTCAATAAATGAAGACTGATGGGTTGACTTATATTATCCATCCTTTCAGAAATTCTGAATACATTCATCTTTCAAGGGTCTCAAAGCCTTCTGAAGTACATGGCTCTAAAATTTTACTTTGATGATTACAGGGGATATGGAAAATGTAAACAATAAAATTGTCTAGTTATCTGGTAAAACTTCATTGTTGTCATATTTTAAGTGCATCAAAGCCAAACTCTAAAATAAAAATATGCAAAACAAAAAAATCCAAGATTTACTTCTTTACATAGTGTATGACACTAAAAAAACTTATAAAAGAAAACTGAAAGCTTTATTTGTGCCTAAGTTAAGCTTCTACCTATAGATTAGGACAAAGAAAATATCTTCTTGTAGATGTATTCAACCTTAACTACAATGTGCCAAGACTCACTCAAAACAGTATTTCATTAAGGATTTTACCTTACTTAAGAAGTTTGGGTCTAGTAAACTGTTTCTTTTTGTCACACTAAGAGTTTCTATCTTATCAATCAATATGTAATTTATTAGGCAATTTATAGGGTATTTTTGCAAAAATCTACCTTTATAGGATGGGTTTCATAGAAAATTCTATTACTACAAATCATATGGGATTCAGGACAGCTAAACCAGGTTTCTTTTTTCTTGTTGGGTTCCAGTGTCTTTTCTATGTACCGCTTATTCTAAACACTTGTAAGAGTGAGTGAAGATACATGATGACAGTGGCAGTGTTTGTTGGAAAGTAGCCAAACAACTCAAAGTAAGTGTGAAGGTCAGCAGAAATAGATGGTTCTGTATTTCACGCAGACAACTGAGGGTCAACCACATAGCTTATCTTATTGGCTCATTCTGTTCAATTATAATAGCTTATTTTCTTATGACAAAACCAGTTAACCTATGTGTTCTTAAAAAGGAGATTGCCACCAATAGCCAATGGCTAGCTAGCTCAATGAATGGCATTTTGTAGAGTTAAGAATAAAATGAATTTCAAGTTTACTCACCAAGGGAAAGTCTTCTATTCCTTTTTCTTGTTGTGAAGAAGAAGATGGATCAACAGTTTTGTCATCATCGCACAAACACCGTTTATATCTTTTTGAATGAACAGCAGGACTTTTTACTTTAAAAATAAAGTTGGAAAATAGAGTAAGAATTGCAAAAGTTTAGCTTCATTTATCAGTTTTCATATTGAGAAAATAGGAAGTCTACAAAATAAGTCTACAATTATATCTTAATGCTAATTAGCAGCTCATTATTATTAATTGAATAATATGGCTAACATCTACTGAGCATTATCACATGCTAGGTGGTAAACATTTTCTGTGGATCATCTTGTTTAATTTCCTGTGAATCCTTTAAGGTGGGTAGTTCATTACATCCATTTTAAAGAAGAAAGTGGGCCTTCCTTCAACAAAGTTCAGGAAGTTTCCCAATGTCATACAGCTAGTAGAAACCAGGTCTTACTGACTGCAGATCTATGCTCTTAACCATGATGACTATTAAAGTCCTCTTAAGTCCTCCTCCTATGATGGATTCCCCTTCCTCATATTACCATTTATTCTATACCCCTCATCCTTCTGAGATATCTGAACAAGTAAATGTACAGGTGAGAAACAAAAGGCATACAACAACAAATACAGTACTTTATAACAGAGTTCTAATAATTCCAAACGCACAATTTCTCTAATACTATGAGATCAGCTAACTCACTGAATATGAACTTTCTTTCAGGTATGCCTTGACGAGGGAGACAGAATAGCCATGACCCTACGAAAAGCCCTAACCCTATAGTTTAGTATAGCGTAGCAAGCAATAAAAATAGAAAACTTTTTCTAGTTTTGATCATGGCCACATGATCTAGCAATTAGTAAAATATTACACAGTAAATATCCTTGATTAGTCCAGTCATATCAGTAATTTTCCTCTCTTGAAAATTAATAGGTTGGTGAGGAGTGTGGTAGGCTGAAGGGGCAGAATATGACAGGGGTTCTCACCCTCATCACTCTCCATCATTGAGAAACTCAGGCTGCTGCTTCTATGAGCAAAGCCTCAAGCTTGAGGAAAAGAGAAAAACACTTGCCTTTCCTCAACACTTGATGAAATGTAAACTACCACTAAAAAAATATAAAAAGGTCCATAATATTTTGCCTTGGCTATACATTCCCTTGAAATAGTTTTCAGTATTAAATGCATTACTCATATATGCAAGTATAATATATCTGCTTAACAAATTAATATTCTAATATTAGAATATTATTCTTAAAATGTTAGCATGGAAGCTGAGGATTTAGCTCAATGGCCTGTCTTGCAAGTGTGCGGTTGAGTTCTATCCCTGGTACCAAAAAAACCCCAAACAAAAAAACATGTTAGTATGGGCCCAATAGATGTATGAATCATTTTGAAGTAATAAAATCTTAGTTGCAAAGGCATTAGCCCCTTTCTAGCTCTACTACAAGTAAATTAACTTTCTGAGTTTAAGTTCAGTCTCTATCTCAATCCCAAAGATAGGGAGATTTATATTTGATTAATTATTGCTACAGATTTCATCTCAATATGTAACTCCAACCCAACAGGATCATATGATCTATGAATTAAACCACACTGCCAATGTCTAACAGTCCATAGTAGATTTTTGACAATTTAAGAAATATCTTTCTTCAGTTTTGAAACAATTTATACTACAGTTGTGAAAATTTTATTTTTCTAACCAGAAACATCTAAACATCTTATAAAATAGCAAGTAAGAGACAAGTCAGTGTCTCCTGAGAATCAGCCATGCTGGAACCTGGGGGACCAACCAAGAAAGCAACACGCTTTCTGGTAAGCGGCATAAGCCGCAGACGCATGGAGGGAGACAATAAGTCAGTGTGTCTCCTGTGATCCTACTGGTGCGAGGTGCACAGAGCAACTAAATGCTTGTACTGTTGGGTTGATTATGTTGACCTGGGGCCAGAGGGCTGAGCATCATTTGGAAGGATGACAGTATTTAATGTAGCAGATAGGGGGATTTCTTTCTACCTTGTCTTTAAAGGCCAATTATTGTTTTCACTGTTTTGTTTTGTTCTGATTGTTTTTCTCTATGCAATATTCTGTTTTGATTGGTTTTACAATGTTCTGTTTTTAGTTTGATTTTGCTATACTTGACTGAATGGGCAACTATTGTGAGGATATCAAGATATATTATGGTTGCTCTCACTGTTATCCTGGTAGCCTGCTCTGAAGTTCTATACCAATTTCAATGCATTGTCTTGATTAGCTTTGTTCTGTCTTGTTTTGTTGTATTTTACTATTTAAAAAAAATAGCAAGTAATACTGACATACATACCAGTCATTGCAGGATTACTATCATCTTTATTACTGGTCTCAGTAGTACCATAAGATTTTAGCAACTCTTTCATTTTTTCATTATTTGCTTCATGCAAAGGAGTCTTCTGTGTTTTATCCTTTGGATTAGGGTTTGCTCTATGTTGTAGTAGTATCTCAGCTACCTACAATGTAATTTTTCAAAGTTATCTCTACACATATCTGTCTCAAGATTCTATTAATAAGCATTAGAGATTACTAACAAAAAGAGATTACTAACAAAAGTTTTCAAACTCTGGTTAAAAATTTTTAAATTAAAATTGATATAACAGCTGTAAACTAACCCACTTGGCCTGATTGTTCCTCGTAAGTCCATATTCATAAAACATACTCATAAAAAGCATGCTAACATGAGCCAGGCATGTCTGTAAACCCAGCACTCGAGAGGCTGAGGCAGGCAGATCTCTGTGAATTTGAGGCTAGTCTGGGCTATATTGTGAGTTCAAGGTCAGCTTCAACTGTATAGCAAGACTCTGTCTCAAAAATACCAAAAAAAAAAAAAAAACCCCACCAAAAAAGAAACAAACAAACAAACAAAATACCTACTAACAGGAAAGTCCAGTGTTCTTCCTTCATTGCAGTAACACTTGTGCACAAGGAGATCCAGTTTCTGATCAGTTCTTTACAGCTGAACTTTCTGTGATGATGAAACACCCTATCTGCTCTGGTCAATAAAACAGTCATCATTCACATGTGGCTATGGAGCATTTCAAATGTGGTCACTGTGACTGAAGAACTAAACTTTAAATTTTACTTAACTCAAATTTAAATAATAAAATTTAGAATATAGCGACCTTACTAGGTAAGACAAGTCTAGATCCTGTGCAGATGCAGCCACATGTAGGCAAATGTACAACTGCTGATGCTCAGATTTACTCAGTTCAGTTACAGAATACTTTGCCCTTCTGCAAGCGGCTGGGGACAGGATAGAGAAGAGGGCAAGAACTGTTTCAGGACTATATTATGAACTGTACTATGATTTTTTTCTTTTTTGTCTTTTTGAGACAAGGTCTCACTATGCAGTTTAGGCTGGTCTTTGTAGCCTAGGCTGGTCTCAAACTTGTAATGATTCTCCTGCCTCAGCCTCCCAAGTGTTAGGATTACAGGCATGTGCCATCATTCCCAGCTTTGTATAATAAATTATGATTGCAATTTGTACCCCTAAAACTTACGTGGTGTTTTTGTATCCTTAAAACTCAGTTGCCAGCTGATAGGCTTCTGAGGAATGACTGTATCATAAGGAATCTAACTTCATCAAATGAATGGATCCATTGATAAGATCATAATTTGATGGGAGGTGATAGAAACAGGAGATGGGGTAGATCATGGGGGTATAACCTTGGAGACCGTATCTGGTCCCTGCCCTTTCCTCTCTGACTTCTCCGTTTCTGTCGGTCTCCTGGATACCATGAAATGAACAATTTTCCTCTTATATATCCTTCTGCCAGAGTGCTTTGCCTTGCCATAGATGTTGGCACACTTCTTTTCAACGATAACAAACAGCACACTGTCCCACCATGTCACAGGCTCACCATCACTGCCATAGGTCCACAGTAATGGAGCCAAATAACCATGTACTGAAACTTCTGAGATTGTGAGTCAAAATAAGTATTTCTTTCTTTAACGATTTATATTAGGTACTCTGTCACAATGATGGAAAACTAACCCATTAGACAGTATTCTATTTGTACTATGTTCTAACCTAGCAACCTAATACTCATTCTAATATTATATGTATGTAAATATATATTCTAAACAACAGTTATAATCACATGGCATTAAAGACAGAGGGAAATGCAGACACAATTCACAATTCACAATTCACTCCAAACATGCTGATAGGTTTTTGTATTTTGTTCTTTGATGGTACTAGGTATTGAACCCAGAGCCACTACTCTGACCTATGTCCCAGTTGTTTCTGTTTTTATTCTAAGAAATGGATTCACTAAGTTGCCCAGGCTAGCCTTGAATTTGTAATCCTCCTCCCTTAGCCTCACATGGGATTACAGGAACATACCAATAGATTTTTGTCTTCCTGCTTGTGTCCAGGGATAGAGAGGAAGAGAAATTCAGGAGCAAATAAGTCATCAGAAAAGACAACGGACAGCTTTTCTGTGTTCTATCTAGATAGTGCCCTTGTTTTAAAGTCAAACATGCAAAACTCTTGCTACTTAATAGGGTTGTCCTTGGGCAAGCTGCTTACCATCTTTTATTTTTGTTTAAAAAAAAACTATGAATGATAAATGTGAGCTTTTATAAAGTATCTGGAACAGCGAAAGATTTTAATAAAACTTGTCAACTCCCTATTTTCCCCTAGAGAAGTAAAAAGACCAACTGTGGAAAGGACAGATAAAGTGGAGTATATGGAATTCTCCTGCAAAGACTTCTGATTAAGTCTGCAATATATGTACCTTAGCTAAGTCTGAATAATGGCATCGAAGGGAATTTTACTTTTATTTTCCGGGGGTATTGGGAATCAAATGCATGACCTTGTGCTTGCCAGGCAGTTGCCATGCTGCAGAGCTATACACTTGGTCCCACTTCTTTTTTAGCGTTTGTAGAACCTCAATTCAGTTATCTGTAAGCCTGACTCATCATTAAAGTAACTTGCGGAGTTTTTAAAAATACAGATTCTTGAAATCATTCCCAGAAATTAACTTTGTAAATTAGAAATCTAAACCTTAAATTTTCAGAAATTTATTTCCAGCATTATATGGCATACACAGACTTATTTTCATATAAGGAAGCTCATTTAGATTCTTAAAAAATTTATGCCTTATTAACTATTTTCCCAGTGTGTTACAATGAAGCCTTCTCTAGGAATTGCCTTTTATACTGTATTAATATGAACGTATTCATTGAAAACATTATCTTGGAAGACACAAAGAAGAGAGACTCTGAGACCCTAAACAGCTGTTTATCAATAATATTAATAGGAAAAATTTAGGAAAATAACAATAAGGTTGTTTAGAGGAGCAAAGTACTAAACAGGAAAAGCTATGGCTAATTTGGAAGACAGATCCAGACAATATAATGGGCTAGGTCCAAGGGTCAAAAAACCTGGCAAAGATTAGATGAACAAGAAATATGCCTCTTTAAAACAAACAAAAATGAAAAAACAAAACAGGCTTCCTGAAGTGATAACTACAAACATGACTTAGAAACATTCCTTCCGCACACACACAAAAATCCCTTCTGCCTCTTTGCAGTCAAATCTCCTGCTTGCCCCCAGATTTTTTAGTTCAGACAACCCATGATCTGTTTCTATCACTTTAAATTTTGCCATTTCCAAATGACTATTTTGTATTTGGTATCTCTGACGTAACATGATGTTTTTGAGATTCACTCATACTGATGTGTGAATATAGTCTATTCTTTTTAACAATTTAATTATGAATTTACCAGGTGACAGATATTTGGTGTCTAGTTCAAAGCTTGCAACAAAAAAATTTTCATTTCTCTTTGGTAAATACCAAACAGTGGATCAAAAATTGTATGTTGTATTTTTATATGTATACATTTTAATAGGTGTGTATGTGCACATTTTACTGCTCTAGCTCAAACCCAGGTCCTCATGCTTGCCAGGCAAGTGCTCTAGCACTTAACTACATCCGCAGCCCAGTAAGTATATTTTTGATGCAATAAAATAATGCCACTGTTTTTCCAAGTGTACTATTCTGCATTTTTACCAGAAATCTATGTAATACTTCTAGTTGTTACACAGCACTTAGCACTGTCAATCTTTTTTAATTACAGCCATTCCAGTGGGTATATAATGGTATTTCATTATGGATTTCGTTTGCATTGCCTCAGTGCTGAACAGTGTTGCATATCTTTTTAAATACTTACATGCCACCATATATATCATGTATATTCTTTGATGAAGCAGATACTGGAACCTTTTGTCTATTTTCTATTGGATTGTTAATCTAACCATTGAGTTTAAAGAATTCTTTATACATCCTAGTTACAAGCTATTATCAGATAAATGATTTAGGAGAAATATGTTCTTAGTCTGAGAGGCTTTTTTAATAATGTCATACAGAATTCATGTTTTTTATATTCTATTTATGAAAAATTTGCCTACCTCATAAGTCACTAAGTTGTTTTTTAGAATACTACTGTTTTGCCATTTTCATTTAGATCTATGATCCATTTAAATTAATTTTTATAAATGGTGAAAAGGTTTTGTTTTCCTTTTCTTTTCTTTATTTTTTATCGGTACCAGGTATAGAACTCATGACCACATGCTTGCAAGGCAGGCACTTACGCCGCTGAGCTAAATCACCAGCCCCCTAAAACTTTTTTTTTAACAAATGAAAATTCAAAGACTACAACTCCATTTGTTGAAAGAATGCTCTTTCTCTATTGAAAATGCCTTTATAGTGTTGTCAAAAATCAGGTGACCATGTAATTGTGGATCTATTTCTAGGTACTTTATTTTGTTCCATATATGAAACTCAGTAGTTCTTAACCAGGCATTATTTTGTCCTCCAATATACATTCAGCAATGAATGACTGCAAATATTCCTAGTTGTTAAAAATGGGGAGTATGGATCTTACTGGCCTCCAGTGGGCAGATGTCAGAGATGTAGTTAAACATCCAAAAATTGTACAGCACAGCAACTTGTAACAAAGAAACATTCAGCTCAAAGTGCCAGCAGTACCAAAGTTGAGAAATCATGATCTAATTTATGACAGTAACATACTTCCTGATTACTATGGCTGTAGAATAAACATCTATTCACTACAAATAACGGTGGATCCTCTAAATTGTTCTTTAAAAAAAAATCCTTTGTTATTTTGAGCTCTTTGTGATAACAGCCCCTGTCTGAGAGACAGCACAATCATTATGGCAACAGTTCAAAACTGTGCCATGATAATGCATAACTTCTTCCCCACAGCCTCTATGGCTTCTTCTTCCCAAAAGTCTTTGCCAAAGCTCAGGAATGTAAAGGTTTGCCCAATCCCTTGTACTTTCACAAAATAAATCAGCTCACATCAATCTCCAGAGCCCTACCCCCATCACAGCCTGTATCAGGCAGAACCTGCCTTTTGTCTGCAGAGAGATAGCCTTCTTTGTGGAGACTGCCTCTGTGCCCTCAATAAACTCTCTTACCTAGCT